GTGCCGCATGGGGCCCGTCGGGTGGCGGCAATGGGGGACCCGGCACAAGCCACCCCTCTGGGGGCTCCAGGCTCTGTTGGGCTTTGCTGAATTCCGACAAGACCCTGCGGAGAGAAACAGCAATGGGACTGAGGCAGTGCCCCCCGGCGCAACGCAGGGCCTGGCCACAGCCGCTTGTCCTCTCTGAAACACCCCCTGAGGCTCTAGCAGGAAAAGATCCCTCAATTTATGGATTTCCTCACCACACACACGGGCTTTAACTTGCTTCTGAGCCACTACTGCCAAGCGAGAGACGGCTCAGGATCCCCCGCAGCGGCGAGCAAGCCCTCCACACGTATCCAGCGCGGAGCACGTGCCAAATCCCAGATGTATTTGTCACCATAACGTGCAATTATTAGTGGAGTCTGGCCAGACAAAACGCTGTTCCCATGCCCCTGCTTTGCTATCAGCTAGGTCAAATTAAAGCAGCCCAGACTAAGATTCAAAACAAAGTCTTTCCATCAGCAAATCTAATCAAATCAAGGAAGGTTCCCTCTGGGATTATCATAAGATAAAGAGTCCTAAAAGTAGGGAACAATGTTGTTATCAATGAGGAAGAACAGACTGTAGCTCTGGTCTAAACCATGGGGGAAGAGCTGGACAAGTAATCACCTTGCCCAAAACTGCAGTTTCAAATGCTCTAAAACTCCTAATGAACTTGAGGTGAAGCTGATGACTGTTTTGGTTAATAAAAAAAAACTTTACAGAAAAAGCAATGTTTTGCTTGAAAGTCTCAATTTAACCTTTCCATTCAAGATGCAGGGTTTGTTTTAAAATTTGCCTCTACTTTTTTAAAGTGTCCAGAAAGAAAAGGTTTTTAAAGTCCTTTGATATCCTGGTCAGCTGGAAACAACACGTTTTTCCTTTTGTGGGAATTTCAGGGTGCTCACCATTGTAAATCAATGCAAAACAAAGCTTTTTGGTAGCAAACTGAAAAAAAAAAAGCATTTGCTCCTTTCTGGCCTTCTATTGCCCTATAGCATCTCCAAAGCCAAGCACTGCTAAACATGGCCTTTCCCAGCAAATAAACCAAGTCCTCGCGTTGCTCCTGGCTTTTCAGCCCTCACTCAAACCAAAATTGGGAAGGGTCCATTTGCCAGACGGCGCCCCAAGGGCAGACTCATTCAGAGGCAGGTTAGCCAGTACCTCCTTGATATTTTAAGGTGATGGGCAAAACACTGACTTTCTGATTGCTTTGGGCTTATATAACCCGCTGGAAATCTTTGCCCTCACAGGCCGAGTGTTTTGCAGAAATCAATCACAGGGATGACAAACTAACAACCTCCTTCCCTTGAATTATCTGAACAAGCTGCAAATTATGTCTCTTTTCTAGGACAAAACCCATTTTTTTTTCCCTCCCGGAAAGCCCCATAACAGCCTCAAGCAGACACCAGCAAGCTGCTACATTCCTAAAACCAGAGAGGAGCATTTTTGTGATGCATCTCCCCTGGCAGAGAGCACAGGCAGGCACATCCGCGCCTTGCAGACACTCTTGTGCCTTGGCACCAGCAGGACATTTCTTCTTTTTTACCTTTCAGACTCTTTCCGGGAGGCAAAAGCGCTCACAAACAGGGAGAAATGTTTCCTGCTTACAGGAGAATACAGGAGGAGCCCAGGAGAGGGTTACAAACCACCGTAAGGAGCAGGTTTGGGACAAGACTCACTCTTGCAGCGATCTGTCCAAGTCCTCGGCAGTGGCCGTGCCCAGGTCGGAGTCGCCCGAGAGCGGCTCCTCGCTCCTCTCAGGGCTCCTGGGGCAGGGAGGCTGCAGGAGGCCGTCAGAGCCGAGGCTGGAGGAGAGCTGGGAAGAGCTCGTCGTGTTGAGGCTCAGCGAGGACGACGTGAGCTTGAGTTTGTTGCTGCTCTTGCCCATGGGGAGGGTGGAGGGCTGGATTTCGATCTCATCGGAGCCCGAAGACTGTGAGATAGAACCCAGCGATGCCTTTCTGCGGGGTTCGGATGCCGAGGATGGCAGGGGCTCCAGCAGCTCCGAAACGGGACATAGTCCGGAGAGGGACAGTGGGGTGATAGTCCACTCGTTCAAAACTGCTGATTTGTAAGACAGCTCAAAGGTCAGGGATGACAAGCCCTGCAAGTAGCTGAGGAGAAACTCGCACTCTTCGGCATCTAGGAGCAAAGCGGTGGCCTGGTAATACTCAGGCAGCCGGGATCGCTCCCGGAGCAGCAGCTGCAGGTAACACTCCACGAGGCCGTCGTTCAGCGCCAGCCTCAGCCAGGCCCGGCAGCGGCCAACGTCTGTGTTGATGAAAATTAACTGTTCCAGCTCTGAAACAATATTGCTGGGGAATGGAAAAAGAAGAGGAGAGAAGGTGAGCAGCCATTTCCACAACATCATGGTGTACCCAAGGGCCACCTCCTCCAGGAGAGCACAGGTTACACAACCCACTGGCTCAACCTGAGCGTTGAGACAGCCAGAAAACAGGGCACGGTGCAAGGAGAAGCACCCAAAATGCTGCCCGCCTGGCACTCCTGGCTCCCCTGGTGCTGCTGCCCACTGCGGTCCTGCAGGCTACGCACGTCGCTTAGGAATGAGGAACTGTCCAGACAGCTTTGCTTTAGAGTTGGGTCAAAACAGGCTTTGAGAAAGCTCTCCTCTGTGGAAAATGTGGTTTCCCATGGAGAAAAACTGAGCTCCTGGATGTTCCCCGCCTCAGTATTTTGGCTGTGACCCCAGCCATCCTCAGGAGTGTCTCTACACCCAGCTGCTCTCGGGCTGGAGATGCCGCTGGGCACTGCTTGCCCCAGCCCAAGGAAGGGAACGCGGGAGCAATTCCCGACGTGTCTGCACTGCGACAGCCAGGATGCTCATTCGGAGCAAAACATCTCCACCCTAGGCTTCAAATTTTCAATCGATTGAAACACAGTGAAAATTGTCAGGGAGCCAAAAAAACAATCACAAGATGTGGGTCAGGTTAAGTTCCTTGACTAGTCTGAACACACTGATTTCAAGTACTTTTCCCAAAAATCTAATACATGCCTGCTAACCCCTCTGGCCTCAGCTCATGTCTCAGTAGTCAAGGCTGCACTTTTTATAAAAATCAGAGCAAAAGTTGTGAAAATTTTAAAATTTGCCTCAAAATGAAGACAGCTTTCAAAGAGCACAAAAACATCCCCCAAAGCATGTCAGTTATTTTCATTCACTTTTCCATAATTCAGGAACTGCTGGTGGAGTCAGATTTGGACGAGGCTTTCAAACTGAGTGTTAGCTGGGATTTGGTGTGGAAAAACTGTGCAGGGAGTGGTTCCAAAAACCCAGCAAATCACAACAGTTACACACGAGAACCCACCAAGTTCAGAGATAAGGTCAGTGTTGCTTTTCCGGTTTCATGTGTAGAGAAATGAAAACTCATTCCCAGCAGATAAATGTCAGAACAGAGCCCAGACCCTGCACCTTGCGACCCCGTAACCCGCCGCTGCTCTAGACCAGCGCGGTCACTCTGGGTACCACGAGGGAGATGATGTCCCAGGAAATGATCAGGCACCCAAAAATAAATAAGAAAGGAGCCGTGCGCAGGCACTACGTGGTTTCATGGATGGACCCTGGCCCTCCATTCCTTGTGTGCACTGAGACACGGAGCTGGTACAGCAGGTGTCCGATCCCCTGCTCTGCACTGCTGCTCGGGACTGCAGGGGCTTTGCCCTCCTCCGTATGTCTCCCACTGTCTTCCCTGCCCACCAAGACACCCAGCAGGGTCATGTGGTCCCACCAGATTGTGGTTGGGAGAGGCAATGACAGATCTCTGGGTGCGGCTGTTCTCCTGTTTGTCATCCCCTTAATTTTGCAGTTTCCTGCACCCCTCAGTGCCTGAGTGCACAGACACCTTTCGCAGGGACCGTCACTCACCGGTGCGTGATGCTCTTCAGCAGCCCCCAGAACACGGGCTGGGGAAGGGGCTCCCGGCCTCCTGCCTTCTTCCCTTTCCCCCCGGCCTCTGCCTTTATGTGCTTGGCCTTCAGCCCGTGCACGAAGACGGCCTCCAGGGCACTGCAGAGGGTGTTCGCGTTCCCATCGTCGCTGGTCACGACGGCATCCGAGGTCACATACTGCTTCTGCAGCGCCTTGATGGAGCTCACCAGCTGCTTCTTGATCAGCTGCAAGAGGAGAGCGTCACAACGAGGAGGATTGGGGGCGCCCGCAGCCGCCTTGGCCCCCGCCTCGACCGCGTGTCCCGCGGGCAACGAAAGGAACCAGCCACGCTGCGGCCTCCCGCTTGTGGCATCACAGTTCCCTTGGCTTCTCTTAATGAGTAATTTATGGAAATATCGCTTCCTCTGGCACGTGTTTCAGGGCCCACCGCATCTACAGGCTGTCTTTTGAGCGTGCAGCACTTCCTCTACATGCAGCAAATTGCTCACAAGGGTGGGGAGAAAAGGAGAGCAGAAAGCAGTTCTTTCCAGGCCTTGCTTAGGGGAAACAAATGGGTTACACCAGGGCGTGTGACCAACGAGGAACACTAACGAGGTCCCCCTTCGTAAAGGCTGGGACACAACTCGAGTTCACAGGAGCGGAGCAACAAGCGCCAGCGCCAGCAGGACACAGCCGGACCGAGGACGCCTGGGCAGCCTGTCCACACCGAGTAACTGGCGGGGGCGGGGCCCCCAAAACACCCCCGCAGATGTCTGTGCTCCCCACTAGCAGCTCTGCTCCGGGAGCACGTGCAGGCTTTGAAGCTGTAACGTGGGAATATCACACACCAAGGGCTTCGCTTCCCTCCCTCTTGCACCAAGGTCAAAAAGAAGTCAATGGCAAACTGGCAAACTTAACTCCTTTACGCTGGCAGAGAAGGTTTCTTACTGCTGCTCAGCCCAGATGTCTCAATCAACGTTATTTAAAAGGAAAGCTGAGCTCCCAGCAGACCTTTGGCAAACACTGCAAACTCAGCAGGGGCCGCAACAACCACATCAGCATCCATCACGCGGCAGTGAGACTTTGCTGAAAGGCACCGCTCGTTCTGAGCAACGGAGGGGCCGGGGCAGGCTTTAATTCAGGTTGGTTTTTCAGGTGGGGCGTTGAGGGATGACATCAGAGGGAAACCAGACCCCATCCCTCTTGCTTAGGGTCCGTGTTAGGACAGTGCCTGCGTACTCACATCCCCTGCGTGCACCATACAGATGCTCTTCATGCTCAAAAATACTTTCTGAAACGCTTCCTCCTCTCCTTTCTGGGCTGCGGACAGCCCATACTTGATTTCCAGCCCGAATTCTTTTTCGGCAAGAGAAATGCACCTAAGCAAGATTTACAGCAGCTCAACCACAGGGCAGCAGGCGGGGAGGCCGGGTTTTATTCCCACCTGGACTGCGGACACCCTCTGCAGCAGGGGCTGCCTCGCGGCTGCCCTGCAGATCCACTCGTGCGAGCAGTGGCCAACGGGATTGAAGAGTGCGAACGGTTTCGTCTGTGGCGCCGGGAAACCTGCCGCGGGACGAGCTGCAGCCGCAGCCTCCGCGTGGCGCCGGGAGCTCCTTTGGGAGACATGTGGAGGCTCGCGGCGCTCGGCAGGGAACACAAGCGCCCTTCAGCAGCCGGGCTCCCTTGCCAGCTGCAACGTCGGCACCTTCCTTGGATCTGGCCACATGGGCACAGCCCCATGGAGGGGCTGATTTAACGCCTGGCCACCCACTGTTGGGTTATTGACTTTCGAGCAACCGCGCTTGCTACAGAAGGGATCCAGGGATGCTCTCTGCCAGGAAGCACTATCCCCTCTCTGTCCATAGGAACTATCCCAACACGAGCTTGCAGCACAGACGTGTCCTACAATCTCCGGCATCCGCTCCCTGCCGGCAGCTGGAGCCAGACTGTGGACAACCCACGCTCTAGAGGGGCTGCTGGGTTTCACTCACCCGGATGACTTCCTTGGGGTCCTCTGCGTGGCTGGGATGCATCTCAGCTCCGGCGGCTCTGCACTCCCGGCACTGCGTTCACATGTCACCTTGGGCACAGGGAGAAGGAGGTTTGAGCTCTCAGCATCCTTTGGGCTTACGTGTAACTCCCTGTCCTGCGAAGGGCGCCCAGAGCCACACAGATCCCCTCCCTAAGTGGCTTGGAAGCGCTCAGGGCCAGGCTGCTGCCCCGTTCGAGTCGGGACCCACCCCAGGCCGCACAGAAGGCACGAGGCCTCGCAAGTCGTTGTAGAGAGTCAGACAAACCAGAGCGAGACCAGGGCAATAACGAACCCTCGCAGGCTGCCCACAAGCAGCTGGAGACGCAGGCTGAGGCCTGGTGAGCCAGCAGGGTGATGCACAGGCCCTGGGATGCTGCAAGGAGCAGGTGCCAGGTGTGAGCGCGGACACCGACACGGCCGCGTTGAGCACAAAGGTCTGGGTGGCGGGAGCGAAACACGTTGAGCAACGGCGCCAACCGAAGGAGTCCGGCCGGGCTGGCAGCAGCAGCCCCAGCTCGGCGCTGCGACGCCGCATCCACGCGGGAGCCCAGAGGGCTCTGAAGCTTCTCCGCAGGGCTGTGGATCGCTCCGCTCAGCGGCAGGCGTTCGACCGCGTGGGATCTTGCCTTCCTGGGCAGTGGGGCAGCTCCGCTGCGGCCGCTTCCGCAGGCGAGAGGAGTCGGCGCAGGGAACCAGCTGAGAGCGGCACCCAGGAGGGGGTTTGCAGAGAACAAGGGGCCTCCAGCTCCTGGATTTCAGCCTCCAGCCAGTCCTGGGGCTCTGTGGACATGGCTGTGTCCCAGGGCTGCCTCCCGGCTCGGACCCAAGCTGTGTCCGGAGATGTAAAGAGCTTGAGAGCGATTCCAGCACCAGCGATCCGCAGGCCCAGGGCAGCCCATGGACACCCCACACCGCCCTGGCCAGCGCCAGTCCCGCTTGCAACAGCCTCGGGCAGGTCGAGAGCTCCTCAGTGACAAAGTCTGGGTTGATCCTCAGTGCGTTCAGGGTTCACAAGCAATTTCATACAAAAGGAAACTGTTTTTGCCTCTACTTGTCATAAGATTTCCTCTCTTTCGATTACAACATAGGAACGAGGGACGCAGTGATTACAGGAACATGAACCTCTGCCTCAGAAGCTCAAGTGGCTGCCAGGGGTTTCGGCAAGGAGGGAGGGTGTCGAAGGGACACGCAGGTGACACCAGCAGGAGATGGGGACCACGGGGACCC